CCCACGCGGGCTCGCTTCCCTCCCCCCCGCCCCCGATCACGCAGCACGAAGCCTCCATCCCGAGTGGTCCCTGGCCCGGCTGCGTCTCTCTCGGCTAATTTAACACATGGAGGACTCGGAGCCAATGGCTGCCTCCAAGCAGCCCCCGGGGCGCCGGGCTGTGCGCCGCGCGGGCAAGGCCGCACCTGGAGCCAAGCACGCTTGGCTTGCGCGGGCACGTCGGGAAGTGACTGGGCAGGGTCGCAGCTTCTCTGGAAGGTGTAAGGTTGACGTGGAGCTGGCAGTCCGTGCGGTCATTCTAGTTCCTCCCTCCCACTCTAGGATGATGGTGGAGGCGGTGGCTGGGATGGGACCCTCCCTGTGGAAGATGGTGGTGGAGGGGCCCCATAAAAGGAGGGACCTCTTTATACAAAGCTAAGGGCCCTTCTCGACTGCTGGGTTGAAGTGCTTTGTACCCACTGTGAGCTGGCATACATTTCTACTGGCATGAAATTGTCTTCCCCTGCCTCTCTTTGCAGTCATAGCCCATCCCCTTGAGGTCTCTCCAAGCCAAAGAGAGAAAGCCTAACTGATTTTGTGTGCCTCCGGCTGCCCTGGGACAGGGTCAGAATAAGAGAGGATACCCTATTTTAACCCTGGAAAAGCTAAAGTCAGCAGAAGGGTATCTGGGTTGGGGATGAGACGAAGGGAATGTCAGTGCAGTCATGGCAGAAAAGAGGGGTTGGCTGGTTTGGGGCAAGCGGGGACATGGCCCAAAGTTCAGGTGGAATTTGCTGATCTGAGAGGAGGAGGCCCCCACTTTCTATAGTTTTTAAAGGGGACCTGAGAAATTCACGAGGAGTGTGGACTTGATAGCTGCATGCCTAAAATGCCAGCTGCTGAGTGTAGTAGGAGAAGGGTTTACGACTTTCCTTGAAACATCTGGTTGGCCCCAGAGACTTAACTAATCCAGCTAGGCTCTTCTAGGGCTCTTATTGAACAAATGATCTACAGTATTGTGTGTATGGAGGTGGGTGTACAAACAACCATGCTTTTTTAAAATGTTGCATTTTTCAGCACAGTGTCACCATCCTGGGATAGTGGATAGTTAATTCTTTCCTGCTTTGGGCCTTCTGTAGTTCATTTGGGGTTGACACCCAGTAAGGAGAGGCATTTGTTAGCCTGAATGGGTTGGCTGAATTTCATGTGTCGTTGAGAAGATTTTCAGGGGTTGGACCGCTGGTCTATATGTTCTGTAGACAACCATGGGTGTTCCTCTGAAGAGGTAGGGATTTTCTGTTATAATAATACATTAAGAAACCGGCACATAGAAAACTGATCACGAGAGTGTTCACTGTCCAAATTACTTCAGCTTCCTTGAACAAATACGAATTTCCTTGGTGTTGTTCCAGGCACATAGTAGTAGAGAAGATTTGCTACAAGGTTTTGCAGCAGTAACTTCATTCAGTTTAAGCCATCATGGCCTCTTCTTTAAATCTTTCTGTCGTTCACATGGTCTTTGATCTGTAACTGCAGATCTTGTTTTAAATCAGATGTCATACTGAATAATCCAGATTACATGTTTGGGGACTGAGGCTGAGGACAAATGAATGACAGAATTTGCAGCTGAGATGAGGTTTAACTGGACAATATTCTGGCTTTGATTTGAACTTTACTTCTGAGAATATTGAATATTGCATATCAATCATGAATTGATTATTGAATCTATGGCTTTAATTTGGCACCATTTGCAGTAATGCAAATAGCAGCTATGAATAGTCACCCTCCCATTAAAGTACCACTTTTTATTTTTTTAATAGACATTTAAAAGCACTACCCAGGAAAAGAAAGCAGAAAATAAGAAAAGCAATAAAAAAAAAGAGATTTACAACTGTATAAAATTAAATAAAAAAATGGAAGTAACCTTAATTTTGTGTTGCATATAGAAGTGGTTAATAATAATAATAATAATAATAATAATAATAATAATAATAATAAGCAGCTTTACTTGGAACAGCTTATATTCTGTGATGATAACTTTAATACCATCAAAACATCAAACAATAACATCTGCCTATCCCAGGTCCTTGGGAAGACTCAATAGGTGGATAAAAATGCCAAATCCAGTCTAAACATCTGGCTGACTGTGTGACCAACTGTAATAAAATAGCATCAGTCATTCAAGACCAAAAAAAGGGCTATGGAATACTTTGATTTGTTTCCTTAAGATGGACTAGAGTATGCAGGGCTGCAACACAGCCCTTGTCTGTAACTCTTTAAAGCAGCCGTATCTTTTCCCTAGCGATATGCATTGTTCATCCTCCCCCATCCTCTGAAATTGGATCAGAAGCATTGAAGCATCAGAATAGCATAGCTTCTCCTTTGGCCTGTAGGCACAATCAAGACTCTTTTCAGAAAACGATAAGGAGGCTAAACACTGAAAAGAAGTTCCCAACTGAGACATTTTTCATGCAATTTCCACCCTAATTCACAGAACTTAATGGTGAAGATTACTATCTTCTGTTTGTAACTGTTTCACGTTTTTCCTTTTCCCACATCTACTTCCATATTTCTCTTGATACAAAAAATAAATTGGGCTAGAATACCTGAATAGCTTCATGGTGGCTTTGGGTCAACCAAACCAGGAGCTCTTACTCATTTCATACACAGAAGTGACTTCCTTCTAAATCAGGATTCACAGACAGGATTGCAGGCAAAGAGGAAGCATAAACTAAGAGTCGCTCTGCTGTGCGAGATGGGCGGCTCTATAAATATGAAAAATACATAAACAAACAAACAAACAAATAAATAATACAGCCCTTTCCTTAATATGCTTTTTTAAAGTGGACAGTTGCATTGCAAAATGTAGAAAACTGTGATTTCTGAATGATATCTAAGTTTTGGCTTCTCATTCCCTGGTGTGTATGTGGTTTTTCTAAAATCAATTCTGACGTAATTTGACAAAAGGGAGTTTGTTTCAAACTGTTTTTCAACTGAAGGGAGGATTCAGGTACTATTCTCGTGAATGGAAGGCAAATGGGCTTCTTGAGTTGCTCAGCGATCGAGGGAAATACATCTGAAAGTCATGTCCTTCATGACATGTGTGTAACGTGTCTACAAGTCTGCAGATCCCGTGACTTTCCTAGCTTTCATTAAATCCCAACCCACATTGGGGTGAGGGCAGGTTTTCTCCCAGGGCTCTTTTTCAGATTGGAAATTCACGCTTCTGGGTGATGGAAAGAGGAATCACAACGCCAGTGTCATCAGCACTAGCACCCTTTTGCCAGCTCCCAACTAAGCTCAAAAGCATCATCAAGAGAAATTTGAAAGAAATTTGCAAGCATCCTGAAAATAAGGTTAAAAATGGAAGCCTCTTTTATAGGGAAAGGAAACTTGAAAAATCACAGGGCAAATGTTTGCATGGTGTGACCCAGAAGCACTCCAGTTAGTTGTTCTTAGAAGACTTCTGAAAAAGGATTTATATACTTTTTCTTTCCCATAGTTACTACTTTCCTTTTTTTTTTTTATTCTTTGCTTGTGGAATACTTGACCAAAATTAAGATGTTCAGTGACGTATTTGATGGGGACAGTTCTCTAACTCTGATCCTTTAAGCACACTTCCAAGATCTGCAGCCATTAGGAGGGTTCTCTAATTTATTCACTAGCAAAATATTGAAGCCGTGAAATAAACTTTTCAAACCTTTGTCCCACCCCCCAGCTTTTCCTTTTTCAAAGCTGGAAGGTGAAATTCAAATCTAAAACTTAGTTCAACACTTCCTGGCTTTTTTAGTTGATCTGCTCTGAGGCTGTAGATTATTTTTACTTGGAATTAAAAAATAAAAAATTAGACAGCCAGCTGACTGCTACACAGCGTGTGATACACATACCCAAGGAATATGAAAAGACCAGAAACCATGCGATCCAACACCGTATGCAGAGCTTGAAACACTAAAAAACTTGCAGGATCTATTCAAAGAGAGACCAAATGTACAACATTACTCAGCCTTACTCATAAATAACTTTCACGGTGTTCAGTGGACTTCCTTCCAGATAGAATAGCAAAGACAGAGTCTTATTCTGAGAAGAAACGTAAGTCTAAGCGTTTAGTACCATAAAAAGGAATGGGAGTTTCTTTTTGGATACAACCGAGTCCATGGCAGATGTTGTAGAAAGAGGTGCGAGTGGGTTAATTCAGGGAAGTATTTTGACAAATATTGTTGTAATTAGCTGTGCTCAGGAATGATATATATTTTTACCCATTAGCATGGAGTCCAGACCATCTTAATTTGGCATTTGGAAGAAGCCAAAAGAGAAGTAATTTGATTAGTCAGAAGTTATTGTCTGATGTATTAAAACAAAATGTTTTAAGTAATTATGGTGAACTTC